ATGTAAACAAAGCCGTTTAATATGTTTTCTTGGCTAATCTACTAATAGGTCAGAATTGTTAGACTTCTTACCAAAAGGCTGTTCCATAAACGCTGACATGGTTGATCTATTTTCAGCCACGTCGGCTGTTTCTGTAGGTAAACAAACACATGAGGTGGTTGGCAGCTGTTCACAAATTTTTCTCACAAAGTTTACATTTAAGGACATGCTACCCATTGGTATGAGAAATAAAAATGCATGTTTTTTTACGTTAAAGGTGTGATTTTTTTTTGACGTTGCAGTGAGTGCCTTTAAAATCACTGACCATTGTGAGCTGTAAATATTGTGCTGAGTTATCAAAGAGAACCAGGCCGGACGAAGTCGCCCCTATTTATTGTCAATATGCAAAGGAACAGTGATGTCTGGAGTAAAAATAAATCTTGTGAGCCTCGCACACATTAAATCAAAGGTTCAGACATTTTTCAGGAGGGATGACAAGCCACAAAGGACAATGAATAGAAGCTAAAGGCAAAATAAAGAAATAAACAGAAATAATGTTAAACCAGAGGAGTTTTTCTATCAGGGATGAAGATGTGCACATCCTTGATAGAGAGGAACGTTGCTTTGAGGAGTGAAGGAAGACATCTTTGTGAAAAGAACCCGTCCATCATTAAACAGGGGCGGAGGCCTCCATGTCCAACTGTCCCCCTCTTACAATGCTGTTATTGCTAGTATCACTCAGCCCCCTGTGCAAAAGAAGCTGAGAACTTGTTTACTGAATTTTTTTATTAAAAGATTTGTGTGAAAAACGCTATGCTAAAGAGCTCAAACCACACCGAGCGCCCGCCATTTTGAGAACCCAAAAAAAGGAAGGACAGACAGCCCATGCCACATCAAGGGGCCTCCCTCCCATTTCTCTTAAAGACACACTGCTCCCTCCCTCACTATCCATCCTTCGGTTCAAACAGTCTTATACTGCCATCCAGTGGTCAAAAAAATGTACTACACTCAAAACAAATTAACCAACATTTCTTCTTAAATTTAACAATAATTACTAGTTATTGTCAAATTTCAAACAATATTATAGTTTATCGCAATAATTTCTGAGACATTTAATCGCCCAGCAAAATTTGTTATCGTGACAGGCTTTGCTCAATTAAACAAAAAATGCAGAAGACTATTCACAAACCTCCCACTGAGTCCAGATGATGTCACTCAAGTGGATACAATGATGTTCTTGAAGAAACTTTTTTTTAGATGAGTTTGTTTCTTTAGGAACCTGGTTTTAAAAATGTACATGTGATACAGATGAATGGAGTAGTGGGCAAAAATACCAACCAATTGTGAGAACGCGTGACAAGATTTCAGAAACAATTCAAAGAATTCCTTGTTTGTGCATTTCTGTGGACTTAGGCGTCCCTGAGCGTCTTTGTTGTCATTTTATGCACTCGTGATGTTGATCTGAACTTTTTAAAGCGCAGATTATCTGTTGCCGAGGGTCACATTCTGTCAGTTTCCCACACCTCTTTTTAGTGTCGGGGTTATCTTTGTGTTTCCTGATTGCTCTTTCTGTTACAGAAACATTCTAGTTCATCCAACAGTTCATGTTATTAAACATCACTCTGCCGATTTCATTGATCAACTGTGCACATTGATCTATTTATGAATACCAATAATGTAATAACATTTCCAGATGTTAGACCATAGTATACTGCACTGCATTTGGCAAAAACAAAATACAACATATCAGCAACTCAAAACAACTGTGAAGCACGGTGGTGGAAGGATAATAATTTGGGCTTGCTTTTACAGCAACAACATCTGGGTCAGTTCATTTGTATCCTCGAGCCAAATGTGAGAACATCTGCCTGAAAACTTCAACTTGATCCAAACTGGGTCATGCAACTGGAAATAAAGAAATAAATAACAGGGAAAAAAAAAATATCAAGATGTTTTTAGTTTAGACCGCAACCCAAAACTGCATGAAAGTCGTGTCTGCAATCAACTGATGCAGTTTTATAAAGAAGCATGGTCAAAAATGTAACAGCTATGTTAATATGATAACAACGGTATCCAGAAGATGACCATTTATATGTTTTTCATCTAAATGTGGAACTTGTAAATCGGTAGTTTCTCCACTCGTTTTTGCTTTTTTATTCAATATGTTAGAAACTGAAACAATCATTTATGGAACGGTTCCTTTTGTTCCATCTATTTTTGCACAGTATATGAATAAAGGTGAACCATGACATTTATAGATGCAGTCATTAGTGATTCCTAAAAGAAACCTCTGGTTTATAAAAAGAACAAAATGAACTACATTTGCTCAAACCCTCCAAAGCATCCTTGGACAAGCTCCCAGTTAGAATTCCTCCACTCTTGAAAATGGGAAACTCCCATCTAATCTGCAATGTGAGCGTTTCTGTCCCGACTTATTGTTGTCCCTGGCACTTCCCTTTGAAAAGAGACAGCTAAGCATTTTGTTTGCTGATCAAACCCTGCAGGCTTACCTCTGCTGCAGGCAGTTAACTGGTAACACAAATCTTTTGTTGACTTACCCCGCTGCAAGCTGCGAACACCACACCCAAGCTGTCGGTCAGAGTCAGCTTTTCCTTTGGAAATTTTTTCCATCTTCTAAATGTTGTGCGCGGAGTTGGATTCCTGAGGCTGAGCCTCACTCAAAACACAACTCGGAGACAGATGGATGGATGCCGTGTGTCTCAGCAGAGCAGGGGACTGGAGAGGAGAACTGGGAGCCAACCTGGACCAGCAGGAATATCCAGACCCATACTGGTGTGTATGAGACAGAACACGATTCCTAATTTACTAATGTCTTGGACTGGTGGACCAAGCAGTTCATATCTGATGTGTAAAACAGGAAGAAGAGCCGTTAAATCACTGCTGAAGGAAATAATGGAAAGTATTTATGCTTACCTGGTGTTTTTGTAGTTATGACACACAGCTCTGTAAATATGACACTGTGTGTAACTGGGGTATTAAAGTTCTTGTTTTTGCTTTTTTGACTCAACTGAATATTTCAGATCATCCAACAAATGTTAATATAGCCTATAGTTAATAGCCAAAGATAACCTGAGTAAATACAGAATGTTTTTTTTATGCTCTCCAACCCGATCTGGCCTCATGTGAACCTCATACCCGGCTGTGCCAGCCTTGGCAGCACCAGCTTCAATCGTTCGTGATAACTGGAGAAGAGTCTTTCACCTGGCCGTGGAGGATTGTCACTGCTGATGGTCGGATATTCTCCTTCAGGATTGTCTTGTAGAAAGCAGAGATCGTGGTTCCATCATTTACAGTAATCCACCACTGTGTTTGACTGTGGGTATATTTTATTCAGATGGTGTGTTAGTTTCACAACAGATCAGTACGCAGACCTTTAAAAACTCCTTTTGTCTCATTAATATTTTCTCAGACGTCTTAGGAATCATCAAAACATGACAAGTCTTTGTGTTGTTTTGGGTCAGCAGTGGTTTGACCTTGGGTCTCACACATGGAGACCATTTTACTTCTTGTTCTTAACGGAGGCAGGTGAGTCCTGCAGGGCTTTAGATGTTCTGGGTTCTTTTGGGACCTACTGTATGAGCTGTCGATGCACTCTTTCCGAGTCATTATGGTGGGAAGATTCACCACTGTTCCATGTTTCATCATTTGAGGAGAACAACTCAGTTTATGTGATTTCTTGATTCTACGGGTCAGGCAGTAATCAGGCCTGGATGTCTGGATTTATACCTTTTGGATTTATTAGATGAGGGAAATCCCATCGAGATCACAGATCCATTTTATAAGGGAGGTCTGGTGCTGAAGGCAGCCCAAACACATGTTTTGGACTCGGCTAAACTCAGCTTTTCAAAAGTTCGGTTTTTTCATTGCCCAACTGGGGACAATCAAGTTTCCACATGAGGCCAGGTTAGTTTGGAAATACCATTTTTTCTTTGATGAATTAAACGATCATTTAACAAGAGTACCATTTGAGAATTATACAGAAATGGCCAAGAAAAGCAAAGACCTTGTTTTAACTTTGACCTTGATTTATGACCTTGACCTAGAAGCTGGGGTAATGAAACGTGTACACAACCCCCCCCAACAAATGTGTCTATCAAGTTTCATTAAATTATTCTGAGCTGATGAGAAGTTCTTGTTCTGGTACAAGAAAAAGTTTACCGATGGATGGAGACGACCATAAAACGCCCGCCTTTCTACGCGTGTATGAAACAGGGTTCTGCAACTTTTACAATCAAAAGAGCCATTTCTGCCCCTTTGTTCACTAAATTTAAAATGTCCAGAGCCAAAAAACCTGCTACAATTGTCATTATCAACTGGTGGCCCATGGGCCACTTTATGTTTGTTAGAGGGGGCTTTTCTGGCCGGTACGTGTGAAATTATAAAACTAAAATCATAAAAAAAATATATATATATATACATATATATATATATATATATATATATATATATATATATATATATATATATATATAT